AATAATAATAATAATAATAATAATAATAATAATAATAATAATAATAAATAGTAGTAGTAGTAATAGTGGTAGTAGTGGTAGTTATTATTATTATTTATTGGTTAATCTTTTAAAGCATTACAAATTTACAAATTCACAGCCTTTGGGGCTGGTTGGTAGCTCAACAGCTCGAGTCCTAACCAAGGACCTCGGAACTGTTCAGGTAGCATCGGAGGATATGAGCTGTTCCACGTAGGGTGGGTTTTTTTTGTAGAATCCGGGTATTCAAGTCCGATAAATTCAGGATTTCCAAATAGCGAGGTAGCCCCTTAGGTATTGATCCAAGGGCTCCTATTATTATTATTATTATTATTATTATTATTATTATTATTATTATTATTAATTGTTGTTGTTGTTGTTGTTGTTATTATTATTAAACAAAATAGGATGTTTAACGGTATTTCATGCAGCGCTCAGACGCTCAGCCTGGCTGGAAGAAGGAAACAGGGAAGAACTCCACAACCTTCTCCGCATCTTTTCCCAGACCCCACCACCACCACCCCGTCTCCTCCGTCCCGGGGAAATTGCAGGAAAACCATCTTACTTGGCATCTTATTGAGGCCTGGCAGGGTTGAGGCAAACGGCATCCGTCGGTAACGCCGGGGGCTCAGCTGTGGAAGAAGGTTAATTTGAGCGTGTTTTTTTTCAATGTTCATTTTAACGCTTTCGGTTTTAAACTTTGGGTTGAAAGGACGGATGTTTTTAATAGTTTAAAATTTCCAAGTGTCTATTTTGTCATGTGTGCAACTGTAAAGTGCCCGGACTCACTCGATAGCGAGATGGATGGCATATCAATTTCATAATTAAATGGAGGAAAGAGCATTTTCAGGACTTAGGCCATCGAATAGGGTTGGAAGGGACCTTCAAGGTCTTCTAGTCCAACCTCCTGCTCAATAAGGAGACCCTGTCCCATTTCAGATAAATGGCTGTCCAATCTTTTCTTGGTGTCCTCCAGAGATGGAGCATTTACCACCTCTGGTGGCCAGCAGTTCCACTGGTCAATTGTCCTCACTGTCAGGAACTTTTTCCTTAATTCCAGGTTTTCACTCCTTGACAAGTTTCCACCCATTGTTTCTTATCCTGGTGCTTTCGAGAATAATTGAACCCCTTCAAATACTGGAATGCTGCTCTCATGCCACCGCCTGGGTCTTCTTTTCTCTAGACTAGCCAAACCCAAATTTTCCAACCAATGTTTTAGTCTCCAAGTCTTTATAATCATTTTAGTTGCTCTTCTCTGAACTTTTTCCCAAACATCCTTTTTGTAATGTAGTCACCAAAACTGGATGTGGTATTTTTTATTTATTTTTTTCATATACAATAAATCCATTCCATTTCAACTGTGCGTCAATTAGATACATATTTGTGTGCTTAGTTATAATTAATAGTTCGCTTATCAATATAACAATACAATAATCACATTTTCATATGAATAATATCCAGTGTATCTGTTTTACGATCTTCTCTTATTACTTTATATATACATCTAATCCATTTTAATTTATCTTATTTTCTAACCATTAGCAAAATAAATCCCATACTATGTAATATTTTTCTTTAATTTCCCATGTTAGTCTATTCATTTCTGCACATTCAAATATTTTTTTCAATAACTTTTCCCTCTATCGGTATCTTGTCACTTTTCCAATTCTGCACAAATTCAATTCTAGCTGCCGTTAATACGCGTATAATTAAATATGTATTTTCTTTACTGTAACCTTCAGGTAGCATTCGTAATATAAAATATTTCAGATTTCAAATCTATATGTTGTTTAATCATTTTTTCCAACCATATGTGATTTTTTTTGTCTAATATTTTTTAGCTTCTATGCAAGACCACCATATATGTAGCATGTTCTGGTGTTTGATGACATTTTCAGCATCTAGTTATAAACTGGATGCAGTATTCCAGGTTCCTTAACAGACTTCTGGGAGTGTTTATTAACCATTACCGTATGATTATATAAGCTCTTTCTTTGTGATTTAAGAGTAAATTGGAAGGGCTTGGTTTGAGTGTCATCACTGTTGCACATTCTGGGCCCCATGCATGTGCGTGAAGCAGGGGTGGGATTCAAATTTTTAACAACCAGTTCTGTGGGTGTGGCTTAGGTGGTGGGCATGGCCTGGTGGTCATGTGACTGGGTGGACATGGCTTGTTGGTCATGTTATTGGCTGGGTGTGGCTAACTCAATATCACTCACATCAAGGCACGCATCTCCTCGCCTGGCCTCTCACGACTGTGGAGATGCTGCAACAGTCGCAAGTGTGAAAAATGGTCATAAGTCACTTTTTTCAGTGCCATTGTAACTTGGAATGGTCACTCCACACAAGCAAAGTATCAGCAAAGGAGGGGAAAAGAACTCCAGAGAAGTTCCAGAGACAGGAAGTCTAGTCCTGCCTAGAATGTAATAAGCGTTAACGGAGAGGCAGTTTCTGTGAGCAACACCAGAATGTTTCCTTCCTGCCTTCCTTACAGGATTAGCCCAGTCATTTCTTCTAACAACCGGTTCTCCCAACTGCTTAGAATGTTAACAACCGGTTCTAGCTAATAGGTGCGAACTGGTAGAATCCCACCCCTGGCGTGAAGACGGTATTATTGAGATCCTCAAGACAGTTAGAAACAACTGAGAGAGATGAAGGATGGCCATGGGGAAGAAAGAAAAGGGCTGGGCAAGGCACTTACCCCCAGGGCGAAGGCTGGAGGCTGCAAGGGAGTTGTGCTCATGTCACTGTGGACCGACGAATCCAGATCTGAGAGGTCGCTGACCGAACGCAGAGACGCTACGCTGCTCGTCATGGGTGCCATGGAGAAGAACATCTCTGCAGGGAGAGAGAGGGAAAACTGGTGGAAGGTTTAACGTTTGCTCGTGGGTGGGTGTCCTGGGTGCTCTCTGAGCTTGGTGGGGGGTGTGTGTGGTTTGCAGACGTTTTATTACCCAAACTAGGTAACATCATCAGTGCTAGAAAGGAGTTGAGGAGGGTGTTGGGGGAGAGGGAGGAGGAAGAGGAGGAGATGGAGAAAGAGGAGTGTGAGGTACTTGGTGCTGAGTTTGGTAGTTTTCTTGCAGACGTTTCAATACCCAACTAGGGAACATCACCAGTGCTGGGTTTAACATTTGCTAGCTCTCACTGTCTTTTAGAGGAGACATGGAGTGCAAAACATTTCTAGATTCTGGAGAGAATTTCCAAATGTGGAAGTGGTTCTAGGCTTCTCACCCCTACTTCTCTATCAATTAATTAATGGTTTATTTATTGAACCAATTCACATAAGTGGCCCATCACGTACATATGTGAGTGGGGGTAGCTCACAAAATTCTAGAACAGAGGTCCCCAAACTTGGCAACTTTAAGACTTGTGGACTTCAACTCCCAGAATCCCTCAGCCAGCAAAGTCTTAAATTTGCCAAGTTTGGAGATCTCTGTTCTAGAGTAATCCCTACCGTATCATTAACAACCCATGAAAAAGAAGTCCCACGGCAAAGAGAGAGAGAGAGAGAGATGTAAGAAATGACATCTCTGCCTCAGAGATCTATTCCTGATCTCCTGGAGAGGGGAGGAGAGGCGGATCACCTCGCCAGGACTCACCTCCGTTCTCCGCTCCGGCCACCAGGCCCTCCAGATGTGCCGGGGCCGATCCCAACCCCGAATGCAGCTGCTGGCTGAGGTCTTGCTCAATCAGCTTCAGATCCTCGGAATCCAGAGGGCGGTTTTTGCTCAGCTGCTCCTGCAGAACGCCGGATTCTTTGCCGGGGGAGGGGGGAAAAGAGGAGGAGGAGGAGACAGATTTAGGGAAGGGACCCTCCACAAAGAGGGGGAAAAAATTGGGCATCGCAAGATTCCTCGAAATCAGTAATTTGGTATTTGCCACAGCTGGATAAGGGGGATCCTCTGGGCCAAACCCACAAAACTGTACTATTTGTTAATTTATTTTATATATATCCCGCCTTTATTATTCTTTTTACAAAGAACTCAAGGCAGCAAACATCATCCTTTCCTCCTCCTGTTTTCTCTAGAACCACCACCCTGTGAGGTGGGTTGGGCTGACAAAGAGTGACTGGCCCAAGATCTCCCAGCTGGCTTTCGTGTCTAAGGCGGGACTAGAACTCACCGTCCCCTGGTTCCCAGCCAGCCACCTTCACTGCTAGATCAAACAGGCCTCTCGTCCTATTCAGTCCCCAGAAGCACAAGCTGCACATTTTCCAGATTCACACAACCTCCTGGGCTGACCAAAGATGTTGGACTCACCAGCAAACTAAGGGCCAATGGACGCCTTGGCGCTCTGGGAGATTTAGTGAGCCGGGTGTGCAGGATGAACCTCCCCAGAGTTCTCAGAGAAAAGGGCCCAGGGCGGTGCTGTTCAGTCTTGGCGTGCTGGCTAGGGAATTCTGGGAACTGAAGTCCCCCTTAAAGTGGCTCCGTTTGGAAATCCCTGACCTTGAGCAACGGAGAATGGGTTCAAGCACCACAAGGCCCCCAGGTTGGAGGCTGTTCTGACCCAGCTCCCCAAACACGGCAAACCCTCTGGTATGAACTCAAAAGGTTCCTTTATAAAACAGCCCCGGCAAAAGGTTTCTCCCTCACCGCAGGCTAGCAAGTCCGTCCGTCCAGGAGATGAATCCAGGGGTCTGCCACCCCCATTTGTCTCCATCCTCTTGCCTTTGATCCCCAGAGCTCGGGTGGGGCTTTGGTAGCAGAACAGTGGCTCTTCCGTCCCAAGGACCAGCCCATAGATTTCCACTGCTCTCCTCTCCTCTGCCTTCTACATCAGGCACTGGACCCGGCTGTTCCTCCTCTTCTTCATCAGCCAGCTCCAGATCTGGGGGCTGTGGACTCTCCCTCTGAGGGCTGATGGACGGCCCAGGCTCCATCTCTCTCTCTCTCTCTCTCTGCCAGCTGCATTCCCTCTTCCCTCTTCAGAGCTCCCAGATGCTGACCCCGACTCCCACCCCTCCTCCTCCTTCAACCATCTAGATCACGGGCATCAAACTCGCTGTGTCACATTGCCGTCACACGATGTTTTCTCTCTTCACAGAGATGGATGTGGCCGCCAGTTTGACACCCCTGATCTAGACCAAGGGTCCCAAACCCCAGCCACAGTGTACTATCGGGCCGTGGCCTATTCGGAACCGGCCTGCGCAAGCAGCAGGCTGGTGCATGCACAGATTTAAGCAAGTGGCGGGCCGGCACATGTTAACAGACATGCTCAACTTGCACAAGTCCAGCTGTGCGGACATGGGCCGCCTCACCACTTGTGCAAGTTGAGCTGCACGTACGTGCACGCCTGCACCAACCCGCCACTCGCACAGTCCGGTTCCCCTCTCCCCTAGCCAGGCCACCAAGCCACAAAGGTTGGGGGTCACTGATCTGGATCACGACTTCTCCAGCCGTTCCATCGCTCACTCACCGGACAAGTTCAGGGATGAGAGAAGATCCGTCAGGAGCAATATCTGCCGAGGAGCCAGCAGCAGGTGCAGAGATCCGATCTTTCCATCTAACTCCAGCTGCAGGTGGAGAGAACCGTGTCCCACGTCAAAAGAAGCAGCCCTTTTGGGGGAAGGGCGAAATCCAGGCATTTGGCGCTCCCCCCGGACCTTACAGCCTAATACCCATCAATAAGACCCAGCTAGACCGGTGGGATGCTAAACCGAGCCTGACTTCAGGAGAAAAACCAACAGGTTTTGCATGCTTTCACGATTAGAAAACATAGAACAGAGAATAATAATAGAGTTGGAAGGGACCTCGGAGGTCTTCTAGTCCAACCCTATGCTCGAGCAGGAGATTGGCGAACCTATGGCACGTGTGCCACAGGCAAACTTACCTCACTTCGCATGCACCTGCCTCCCAGCTGATTTTCGGTGGGTTTGAGGCCTCCTTTGGGCTCCCAGGCTTGTGGAAAGCCTCCGCCGTCTGAAAAATAGGCCCTTCATCACTTCCTGTATTTCCAGAAATACCGGAAGTGACAAAACGGGCCTATTTTTCAGGCTGCGGAGGCTTTCCACACGCCTGGGAGCCCAAAGGAGGCCTCAAACAGGCCGAAAATCAGCTGGGAGGCGCAATGCACGTAAGGGGGCGGGGGGTTGCACGCGCGCACATAATTTTTAGCACAGGAGCCCAAAAAGATTAGCCACCCCTGCCCTATACAACATTTCAGACAAAAAAAAAAGCATTCCTTTGTCTGTTTGTTGACCTGGTTTACCTGAAAGGTTAACATCAACCTTGGAAGTTTCTGTCCCTCCGTCTTATACTGAACAGCGTCAATCTGGTGTTAGTTCGAGCTTCTTTCTCACTTTTCTTTCAGTTTTTGGACCAGGGAAATCTCTTCCCCCAACTAGCTCTTCACTGTTTTCCCTAAAGGCAGCTCCATATCGCCTCGAATCATCCTTGCCCTTAATGGCAGCTTGTTTGTGTGAGCTGCTATTTATTCAACAAGCCAGGTTTAAACAAAGGGTGGCTTGTTGCAATGGGTGAGCCAGTCTAAATTGTATGATTTCAAGAGGCCTAACCTAGGGATAAGTCAGCTCCATTTATACGAGGAAGTCCTGGGACCGAGTTAGCAATGGAAATGTTGGGTTCGATTGTGGTCTTTTTTTTTCAAGCCAAGGACTATCTGTACACTTAAGCTCATGTCTCCTTCGCTAAGCTCCGTTTAGCTTACCCAGTGAGGCCCTTAAAAATCAAACAGGGAGAACTTTGGAAGTAACTAACCCTAACCCAACAACCCAACAGGACAGACACAGACTTCAGAGGATAGTTAGGACTGCAGAAAAAACAACGGCTACCAACCTGCCTTCCATGGAGGACCCGCGTACTCCACGAGTCAAAAAGAGGGCCGGGAAAACATCTACAGACCCCTCACATCCCTGACACAAACCGTTTCAACTCCTTCCCTCAAAATGAGGCTATAGAGCCCTGCACACCAGAACAACTAGACACAAGGGGAGTTTTTCCCGAACGCCATCACCCTGCTAAACAAATAATTCCCTCAACACCATCCAACTATTTACAAAGTCTGCACTAGTATTACTATTAATCTTATCACTGCTTATCACCCATTTCCTTCCCACTTGTGACTGCATGACTCTAATTTTGTTGCTTGTATCCTTGATTTTTACTGTTTCCTAGAATGCTTGATGGCTTATTGTACCCTATGACTATCATTAAGTACTTGATGGTTCTTGATTCCTGACAAATGTCTCTTTTCTTTTATGTACACCGAGAGCATTTGCACCAAGACAAATTCCTGGTGTGTCCAATCACACTTGGCCAATAAAAGAATTCTTATTCTAAATCATTCTTATATTTCTCGACAGGGGAAAGTAGCAATCCACAATCACGCTAGTTTTTGCATTCCCGTGTTTCCTGGATGTATATTCAACAAGCCAGGATTGACCCAAATGACCTTAGCTCCAGGGAAGGCCTCGTTTTGCTTGAGCTTAATCCGCATCTCGGTGTATCCGGAGCAGCTTCCAATCTGAAGCAGAGGGCTGGATCCGGCCTCTTCCCCGCCAGAATCGCACGGCTCGGCCTCCTGGGTGAAGAGGAAATCAAACACACCTAAAAACAACGCCGGGGACTTTCAGCACGGCAGCTGCCACCCAAACGGGCCAGACCCAGAGTTTGTCAGCTGACCCCCGAGCTGCCTCCTCCTCCTCCCCGCTGTCCTGGCTGCGTCTCTCCTATCCAAGCTCCATGAGCCGGCAGGCTGACGTTGGCCACGGGGTGGGAGGGGAGACAGAAAGACCGGGGCGTGTCACGGTTGGCTCGCTCCACGGACCCCGCTTGCAAGCAGGTGTCAGCAGTGGGAGGAGGGAGAGAAGGGATTGGGGTGCCCTCTCGGTGGAAGATGCCCCAGGAGCCTCCTTTGCGGGCTCAGCCGTGCTACAATTGTCAGAGTGTAAGGAAGGGGTAGGTGGGTGGGGGGAGAGGAAGGCCCAGCTGAGCCTTGGGAGAAGCTCCAGCCAGCCAAGGTCAACTATGGAGATGCAGAGCTGGGAACCGGGAACCTCCTTCCTAAACGATATACAAGCACCTAGTTGGAATTGGCGGATAACGGGGGGCGGGGGGGGATGGCGAAGGGTGGAGGGAGAGAGAGGGACCTGTTTGTGTTGGGGGCACAGGGAAAACCCCCAGATGCAGCCTCGCTCCTTCTGCAAGCACTTAAGCTCCCCTAAAGTCGACTCTGGGCAAAACCAAACAGGCAGGCGTCTCTTGTGTTTGGGCTAGGTGACCGAGTGGGACAGTGGGCACCCCCTCCCCCCACACCCCCCCAAGAGGGAAGGAGGATCTCCCACAAGGCCGTACCTTCGTGCCCCGGGCGCTGCCCTCACCAAATTCCTCATAGTAAAGCAAGAGGCCGCTCAGCTGGAGGATCTTTTGCAGAAAGGGTGGAGGCTGGTGGATGTCGACAGCAAGCGCCTGCCCGGGGTCCCGCACCACTTCGTCGCAGTAGTCCAGCCTGTCGAGAGAAGAGGGGAACACTCAGGGCCAGGCGCCGACCATCTCCCATCAGGCTAACTCAAGGCGTCCGTGGCAGAGGAGTGGTGCACAATCAGGCGGCTCGCGAGTTCGATCCTACGGAGAGGCAGCTATTTCTCTCTCCGGGCACAATGGGAATAGATCTGCTGAACAAAACTCCGTATTGGTGACAGGAAGGGCATCTGGCCAGTTACAACTTTGCTAGCTCCATTCAGTTTGCCCAAACCCCACCCTGCAAGGGATTATGGGATTGTTAAAAGATGATGATGATTAGGCCGCCTTCACCCATCACACCTACCCAAGTTCCTGGACAAACTTAAATCCTGGGTCCACACAGGACATTAAACAGGACTCACCCAAAATGACACGCCAATCAATCAATCAATCAGAATACAGTTGGAAGGGACCTTGGAGGTCTTCTAGTCCAACCCCCTGCTCAAGCAAGACACCCTATATCTGTGATGGTGCCACGTGTACCGGAAGTGGCACGCAGAGCCATTTCCCCCAGCACCCGAGAGCTGGCCTGGAAGAGCCCCGCTGCACATGTGCGCAGGCCGCTGCCGCCCGACAGCTGATAGTCAGGTATCTGACATGCACGTGGGGAGACGCAGGGGGCACAGGAGACATGCACGCATGCCCAGAGAGGCGCAGCATGTACTGGGGGTCGTGGTTTTATGAGCAGAGATGCACAGCAGGCGGAGGAATCGCACACCCATCTGCAAATGGATCGCATGCAAGAGTGATTGCGCGCTCATGTGTATGCGTGCAGAAAGGGGAATTGCGCACGCATGCCCAGACGCGCTGCACTGCGAGGGGATAGCGCATGTACGTGCAGAGTGCTGCGAGGCGATTGCACGCGCAGGTGCAGGGGCTGTGGGGAGGGCCAGCACGCATTGCCTTCTGGCATGTGCTGGCATGTGAGCGCATGAGCACAAGCGCAATAATCAGCACGGGAGCTGAAAACGCTTTGCCACCACTGACCGATATCATTCCAGACAAAGGGCCGTCCTGCAGGGGTGGGAGTCTACCAGTTTGGAACAGTTCAGTAGAACTGGTTGTTCCAATTCTGCACAGTTCGGAGAACTGGCAAATCATGACCCTGGCTAGCCCCGCCCCTCTCTGCCCCGCCTTCCCCCCCCAGTCCTTATCGTGCATACGCAACATCATGCGCGTGCCCGACATCACTGACTGCATCAGTCGCTCCTTAAGGTATTTTTCCCCCCTCCCGACGATCGGCTGTTATGATGATCGGCTGTGCCGGGATCCCGCTGGCTGTCTTACTGCTTCGCAGGTTACGGCGGCTATTCCACTGATTGTTTGTTCTACCTGGCAGGAAGCCTCTGCTTGCTTCTAGATTGGATCTTTCTTTGGCCAACGTCCCCCCAGGGCTTCCTGTTCTGTCCTCCGGGGCTCCTGGGTACCCCGCTCTGATCCCACTGCCTTTTTCAATGACCCACCCCTCCCCCTAATGGTGGCTCTACAGGTAGCCCAGGGGTGACCTTCCTCCAAGGGAGCCCCCCAGGTAGGAGGAGGCACCTGTTCCCCAGAATCCTCCCAGCCAACGTGGCTCCTAGAAGCGCCCCTTCCTTCTTACCCCACGACTTTCTCGACAGGCTTGAGAAAAAGAAAAAAGAACCGAGCATCAAACCACCAACTCTGAGGTGGCCCCCCCACCAGAGAAGAGCCCTCCCAACGTTTCACAGAAGGCGTCCATTCGGAGGAGGGGGGGGGGGGAGCTGACCTTTGGATGTGAATTTCCAGGGCCACACCGGGCGCCTCCCGGCTTCTGGGGGTGTGTTCCACGCGTATCACCGTGTCCAAGAAAGTCACTTCGATTCTTCTCAGAACTGGGAGAGAGAGAAAAGGAGAAGACACCAAGGGGGATTTGGGCAGTAAAGCAGGGAAAATCAACTTCTCGTCGCCCAGTGACCCTCTTGTGGCCTGTCGGCCGCGTCTCTCTCGCTCTCCAGCAGCCGAATCAGCGGAGGGGGAGGTGGCATGGGAGTCAGGATCGGCCTCAGGGCCACCTGAGAGCTCCGAGGGGGAGAGGGAGGGAGAGAGGGGGGGAGGGGGAGAGAAAGAGACAGGGAGAGGCAGCTCTGCGCATTGGCACACGGAGGAACAGGCTCCAGCTGTTCTTCTGCCCCACTGATCTCCGACTCTGAAGGCAGCTGATAACTGTCGGACGGCCCCGGCCCCATCTCTGCCTCCGACGCAGAGCCCTCCTCAGAGCCTTCCCCCGACTCCAGGACTGGCCCACGTTCCTCCCCAACCTCCTCCTCACTGTCCGAATCTGCCGCCGACTCGGCCGGCCACTGGCAGGCCACAGCGGTTTCTTCCCTGTTTCTGCCCCCTGGGCTGAGCTGCCACCAGTTTTGGATTCCTCTCCCTTCCACCCCTTTCCCAGCCCCTCCCCGCCTCTCCCACCTGCCCTCCCATCTACCTGTTTCAATGGTTTGGGCAAACATTTCCAAGCCCTCCAGGGGCTGGCTGGTGTCCGAAGGCTCCTCCGCCTGCTCCTTCAAGCACTCCTGAGCCAGCTGCATGGAGGTGGTCATGCACGAAGCCCAGCTTTGCGACTCTGAGCCAGCATGACCTGCAAGCGGGGGGGAGGGGGGGGAGAGGAGGAGATATGGAGAGGTCAGAAACGCAGGTAAGGAAGCGGGATGCTCCCTTTCATCAGACGCTCCCTTAAACCCCAAGCCAGCTGTGTGCGGCGGCGGCGGCAGCCAAAACAGCAAATACAACCCTGGGTTGCATAAACCGAGGCACAGAATCCAAATCACGTGAAGTTTTAGTACCGCTTTATAAAGCCTTAGTAAGGCCACACCTGGAATCCTACGTCCAGTTTTGGTCCCCACATTACAAAAACGGATGTTGAGACTTTGGAAAAAGTACAGAGGAGAGCAACTAAAATGATGAAAGGCCCGGAGACTGAAACGTAGGAAGAACGGCTGCAGGATTTGGGTCTGGTCAGTCTAGAGGAAAGAAGGACTAGATAGCAGTTTTCGAGTATTTGAGGGGCTGCCCCAAAGACGGGGGGAGTGGGGTCAAATTGTTCTCCAAAGCATCAGAAGGCAGCAAGGAGAAGCAACGGATGGAAACTAACCCAAGAGAGAAGCAAGGAGAAACTTCCGAAGAGTGAGGAGCCAGTGGAACAGCTGTGGGGGCTCCACCGTTGGAGGTTTTTAAGAAGTGACTGGACAGCCACCTACCTGAAATGGCAGAGGGTCCCCTGTTTGAGCAGGAGGTTGGACTAGATGACCTACAAGGTCCCTTCCAACTCTGTTATTCCTATACTATGCTATAACCAGTGGAACAGCTGGCCTCCCAAGCATTGTGGGTGCTTCACCACTGGAGGCTTTTAAGAGAAGTCTGAAGAGTAACTTGTCTGAAATGGTACAGGGTCCCTGCTTTAGGAGGAGGTCTTCTCGCCCAGGGATCGCCAACCAGTAGGCTGGGGACCACTGGTGGTCTGCAAGAAAACGTTGGTGGTCCGCAGAGAAATGTCCCCCCCCCCCCCCAAAGAAATTAATCCAGGCTGCGCGGGAACACAAGGCTTGTGTCGCTTGCATTGCGAACAACACGAGGTAGTGAGGGGAGGGGGGAAGGGCAGAGGGGGGGAACCTGCCCCACTCACCCCACGCGCCTGGCCTGGCCACCGGGCTGCTTCTTTCCGCTTCTTTCTTCTTTTGCTTTTGCCTGCATGCAAGGAAATCAGCAAAGGTCTTTCTTTCTCTCCCCCAAACTCCGCCAAAAATGAGTCCTTGGGACCCTGCAAGGCCTCTCCTGCTCCAAGAGGCTGCGCCGGCGTGAGAAATCTCACAAAGACTCATTTCTAGGGGAGTTTGGGGGAGAGAAAAAAAAAAGTCTTCTGCTGCTTCTGCTGCTTTCCTTGCATGAAGCCAAAAGTCTCTCTCTTTCCCTGAGAACTGAACAAGAGACGGTAAAGAACGATTGATCGGTAGGAAAACAGGGTGGGGGATTTTCCTGCAGACTTTTTGGGGGATTTTCCCAGGGTCTCTGGCCCGTGGGATTTAAAATGATGAGTTTGGTGGTCCCTGAGGTCCAAAAGGTTGGCGACCCCTGGACCAGACCTCCAAGGTCCCTTCCAACTCTAGCCAGCAGGCCCCCATTATTACCCCTCCCCACTCTGGCTCCCACCTTGGCGATATTTGGGCCGACAGGTGACCTGCAGCCCACTGACTTCCACAGTGCAGTTCTCGGTGACTAAGGCAGACCAGGGGATGGTGACGGCAATGCTGTCGATGAAGCCATCCAGGATCTCCAACGGGGCGCCCACGGACTCCAGGAACTCATTCACGGACTGCAGAAGGGAAGACAACAAGGCAACGTCAAGTAGAGCGCCAGCCCAAAGCAAAACTTGCCTAAGCAAACATATTCTGCATTAACCATTGCTGCTCACGGTCACCCACACCTAATTCACCTCCTGCAATGACCCAAAGGGGCGTCGCACAAAAGCAACAAAGTCACAAAAATAGGTAAAGTCCCTTTAATACCTCCAACTTGGACCCCAATGTCCAGTTATCCTCGGCTGGAGACCAAACTCTTCTAAAAACAGTCTACAAAGGGAAGAAATGCAGTCCGAACCCAAAGTACAGATAAATTAGAAATAAAAAAACCAACACAAACCACACTGAAGTAATTAACACGGCAGGCTAGGATGATAAATTGCAGACTTTCACAAGATAACACAGCAACCACAGTTGGGAGGACGCCAAAACCCCGATAAGCCTTGACAAAGATAATGCACGCTTTGCTTCCAGCCAGGTGCTGTGTGCAAACACCCTTCTTATATCCTGTTCTCCCAGCTGCAGCCCATGAAGGGGATCAGGGCCCTTTCCTCTCCCGTAAGCCACATTGTTCCCTTCTCCGTTCCTCTCTGCGTGCCCTAGGATGAAGAGGGGGTGGCCCTGGGTCTTCCTCTGAAGCCGGGCTGTGCCCTTCCCCCATTTCTTCCACAGCCACCGGAGCCCCACTCCCACTCCCTGTCAGCTCCTCAATCTCCCCCTCAGAATCAGGCTCCAACAAGGGCATGACACCTCCCGTCTTGACTACTGCCATGCACTCTATGTGGGGCTGCCCTCGAAGAGTATCCGAAAGCTCTGGTCGGTTCAAAATGGTTTTTCTGGTTTTTTCCTTGAAGACATCTCGCTTCTAATCCAAGAAGCTTCTTCAGTTCTGGTCGAAGCGAAATGTCTTCTAGGAAAAACCAAAAAGGCCAAGTTGCCTCTTGAAAAAGCACCTCTGAGACAACCGTGAGCTGGATTGACTGGGAATCTCCATAGATAAAAGTGAACAGAGTACTAATTCCACTGAGTCTACGTGTCTAAGCAGGAGGCTGGACTGGAAGACCTCCAAGGTCCCTTCCGACTCTGTTATTCTACATATTCCGCAGAAGAAAATTGACTAGATTATTTTTAAATCTAATAATTAAATAGGCAGCAGCCCATAAATACTTTTACATTTATTGTTTGAATTTTGATCACACGACCAAGGGGATACGGCAGTGGTTGTAAGTATGAAACACAGCCATAAGTTGGTTTTTTTAGTGCAGTTGCAATTTTGAACAGTTATTAAACGAGCGGTTGTAAGTCAAAGACCACCTGTACTATAACCAGGTTAAGCTTATTGTGACATAGCAATATGTCAGGTGCAGAGAAAACAATGGTCTTCGAAGTTCAAAAGCAAAATTTAAAACTGAATCTGCTGTGTCGTGGAAACTTACGGAGTAGAAAATCAAGCCTGCCAAAGAATCTACAACGGGGAGGAAGGAAATAGGAGCATAAGGGGAGGATGTGAGAGAGACACGTAGGCAAAAATGAGCCTTCAGAGTGATGCGGAATGGAAGAATACAAGCTGCAAAAACTGCTGGAAGAGGAAAGTAGCTGAACCGAATAAGAGGAAAGCTACTGCACAAATGATTTAGCAATAGCAACAACACTTAGATTTATATACCACTTCACAGGGCTTCACAGCCCTCTCTAAGGCGTTTACAGAGTCAACCATCTGGGTCCTCATTTTACCCACCTCGGAAGGACGGAAGGCTGAGTCGACCTTGAGCCAGTCAGGATCAAACTCCTGTCTGTGGGCAGAGTTAGTCCCAGTGCCGCATTTTAACCACAGGAAGGAAGGAAGGAAGGAAGGAAGGAAGGAAGGAAGGAAGGAAGGAAGGAAGGAAGGAAGGAAGGAAGGAAGGAAGGAAGGAAGGAAAATAGACCCTAAAGTGGGTGTGTGGGGTCTCTAACAATTCTTTGAGCTCTAAGCACATAGCACGTATAAGCAGTACCCTGAATAATGGGGAAGGGAGCTTCCGATAATCTTCTCCGCTGTCCTCACCACTCTCTGTAGGGGCTTTCCATCCATCCATCCGTCCATTTGGGTTGGATCTTTGGAGAGAACCAAGCTTTGATAAGCTTCTCTTCCACCTATCGCAATAAACGAAGCAAAAGGCCTTCCAGGCTGATTATTAGCCAGGCGACCTCGCCTCGGGTGATTTGCCATCCAGCTGACTTTCATGCCTGAGGTGGGACTAGAACTCACTGTCACCTGGTGATTAGCCCAAGAAATCAGAAAGCCACCTTGGCTGGGTATGGACCAGGCAAGCTCGCCTCTGGTCAACAAAGGAAAATAGCACATCACACCGGGCAGCTACAAATGCAAATCAAGCCAAGGAGCAAAGATCCAAATGCACACTCCCGGTTCATTGGGAAAGCGGCTGTTCCTCGCACAGCCGGAAAGACCCTTGGCTGGGCCTGAGGGCAGCGAGATCCACGTCTCCTGTTTTTGCAAAGCTGGGTGGCCAGACAACAGCCATGAGGCGGAGAGCACATGAGTCAACTCCGCAAAAACAAACAGCCCACATTCCTCTCCCGACACTTGACACTTCCTGGAGCCCTTGCTCCATCTGATGCCGCCGATCTGCTCTTGCTCAAGGCGGCCTGCCGGAGCCTCAGGCTTCCCCGTTCATCGCCTAGATTTCAATTTCCCTCTTCTTCCTTTGCAGGTGACTCAAGGCGGCAAACCTATCGGATGATCTGTTCGTATCACATCGTCTTGTTTTCTCCACAACCACCACTCTCTGAGGTAGGTTGGGCTGAGGGGCCGGGGGCGACTGGCCCCAAATCACTCAGGTGCATTTCATGCCTAAGGCAGGACTAGAACTCACTGTCACCTGGTGACTGGCCCAAAGTCAGACCCATCTGATTTTCATGCCTGAGGTGGGAACTAGAATTCACTGCCTTCTAGTTTCTAGGCCAGCCCCTTCATCAGTAACACCAAACTGGTTCTCGGTTTTATCGATTTGATCGTACAGCACATCCAGGAACCCTCTCGGCTCCTGGGAGAGACACCTGTTGGCTTCACACGTGACCCATACCTGTAACGTATTCTGGTTTTGATTTCATGTACATATCAAGTAAACCTGGCCATGAATCCAGTACCCAATCCAGAATGCAACCAGCGGAAAGGAGGTTGGGCTACAGTCTGGCGCTTGCCTAGAACAGGGGTCTCCAACCGTGGCCACGTTAAGACTTGTGGACTTCAAAGCTGGCTGAGGAACTCTGGGCGTTGAAGTCCACAACTCTTCAAGTGGCCACGGTTGGAGACTCCTGGCCTAGAAGACCCTCAAAGACACATCAAAAAGACACCAGAATAGAGCACAGCTGGTCCTCCATTTACCACCTTTGGTTTAGTGCCTGTTCAAGTTACAACAGCACGGAGGCCCTGTCCTCACATGTACAACCATGGCAGCATCCTCGTGATCACATGATAAAATTCGGGAAGCTTAGCATGTAATTATTACTATCACTTGTTCAGTGTATTTGCTGCCTATCTGACCTTTTATGATTCACGATGGTTGCAGCATCCCAGGGGGATCATGTGGTCTCCATTTGTGACCACCTCAGCCGGCTTCCGACCAGCAAATCAAGGCTAGATATGCTTAACGACCACCTCATTCACTTAACCACAGCAACAAAAGTTGTGTTCACTTAATGACCACCTTGCTTAGCAAGGAAGCTCCAGTCTCAGTTGCGGTCATAAGATAAAACACTCAACTTACAACACACACGGAAGGCAGTCACCTGTCTGTATAGGGTCAGACCCACCTGTATAGGGTCCCTGCTCAGGAGGTTATACTACAGACATCTTCGAGGTCCCCTTCAACTCTGTTATTCTATGTTCTAAATATGTACAAACTTCCATATCTATACAAATATATTTATATATTTTATAGCTTTTTGTGTATACATTTTATTTACAGGTTTGTAAGCTGCATATAGGGAGAGATAGATAGATAGATAGATAGATAGATAGATAGATAGATAGATAGATAGATGGATAGATATGGATAGATAAATAGATACACACACACAGTGCTATAAAATGTTGTCCTATATTTATTGGTATCCTGCCTTTATTATTTTTACAAATAATTCAAGGCAGCAAGCATATCCAATGCACCTTCCTCATCCTAGTTTCCTCACAACCTTTGAGGTTAGCTGGGATGAGAAAGAAGGACTTGCTCAAAGTCACCCAGCTGACTTTCATGGCTAAGGCAGGACTAGAATTCACGATCTCCCGCTTTCTGGTATATGGTAGACAGCATACAGTATGTGTTTATACGTACAAATGTATATACCGAAACACACAATTATAAATCATATAGAATAATACGTGTATATTAATAGATTTTTGATAGATAGGTAGATATAGAGAGACGATGGATGGATAGATGGGGGGTTATAGAGGGAGGGGATAAAGAGACATAGATGGATAGATGTAGAGAGACATAGATCTCTGTGTTTATACACATACAGCCCCCCCTCAAAAATCTACAAATGTGTGTATATCTCTAAAGTGACATACACACATGTACAAAACATGCAGATTGCTAGACACACCTTAACCCTCAGAGCTGTTATCTACAGGCGTTTGTGATTGTGTGTGTGTGTACACACACATATTTACATATACATATACTATGGTAGTTTCTCAGCTGTCACCAATGCCAGCCCGGTGGACTTCAACTCCCAGAATCCCCCAGCCACCACAGCTGGATCTGAAATTCTGGGAGTTGTAGTCCATTCACCTGAAAAAACGGCTTAAGGTTGAGACACCTGGCTTACGTTGCCCGTCTATTGGGAGGGAGAAGCCCATCCTAATCCCCTCTGGGTTGAGTTGGGACTACACTACCCATCATCCCAGCCTCTTTGGCAGCTGCCTCTCTCGGGAGGGGATTATAGGGTTTGTAATCCCAAGGACACTCTGGGGGGAGGGGGAGGGCCCAGCAGGCCTTCCAGGAGAGGGAGGGGGTGAAAAAGGAAGCTGCACCGGTGGGTTTTCTGCCTGCCCAGGAAGCCAGCGAGGCCCCTCTCGCCTCCTTTCCCTTCCCCTCGCTCCACCGCGGCGGAGAGGCCTCACCCAGACGTCGAGGTGGAGGCGGGTAAGGCGCCCGGCGCCCGCATAGAGGTCGAGGCTAAGCTGTTCGAGGCCGAGCCGCTCCTCCAGGAAGTGGCCCAGGTAATGCTGCAGCAGGTAGCGGCAGGCCCGCTTCTTGATGGAGCTCGACCACGGGAAGAACCAGCTGGACATGATGAGAGAGAGGCGGTGCGGGCTATCGTCGTCTTCGGAGGTGGCCGCCGCTGCCGCCGCCACCCGTGGCACCTTGCCCGGCCACTCCAATCACGCGATTCCCCGGCTCCGTGTTCGGCTTCTTTTACTCTCCAGGCCCGACTCGCTGGCCGACGGGCTCGCTCATTGGCCGCGCCTCCCCTTTCCCCTCCTTTGATTGGTCGCTCGGCAGGCCTCGCGGGTGACGTTGAAAGGGGGCGGGGACCTGAGATGAAAACACGCCACCCGGGGCGGGGCGTCAAGCAAGCTCCCTTATTCTCCCCTAGAGAGAAAATATCAAGAGCCACCCAACTCCTGTAGGAGAACGTGCTTCCGGGCTCGCTAAGGAAGTCTTGAATTTTTTTGTTTCTAAAGAGGAATGCTAGAAGAAACGGAGGCGCCATTTGGAAATTTTGACTTTCGTCTTTAAGAGGTTCGAGCGTCCCTCCTTAAATACCCAAATTACCCTTCTAAGATTGAAAACATAAAGGCTTCCAGACCCGGGCTGCCAAATGGCAGGATGAATAGAATAGCATTCTTTATTGGCCAAGTGTGATTGGACGCACAAGTCTTCAGTGCAGAAGCTCTCAGTGTACATAAAAAATACTTTCATCAAGAATCATAAGATACAACACTTAGTGATAGTGCTAGGATATAAATAAGCAATCAAACTCATACTAGGAATCTAAATAAAACAAAAGAATAGAATAGATTGTGGAAGGAATGGAATGGAATAGGATAGGATAGGATAAGGATAGGATAGGATAGAATCTATTTCTACTATCTTCTATCTAATCTATTCTATCTTCTATCTACTCTATCTATCCATCCATCCATCCATCCATCCATCTATCATCTATCTATAAAAGCGAAATACCACTCAGGCATCATCACAAAATCTCCAGAAACATAAAGCCTACAATCTTGAAATTTAGCACGTAGGTTCCTCTTGACTTCTAGGTGCTCACTAAGAAAGGATTTTTCCAAATGCCCATCAGAGCATTTACTATTTCCTATAATGTTATTATTATTAAAACGCTAAGGAGTTCTACTCCCCCTCCCCATCTGAAAAGAAATCTGCCCCAAATGCAAAACACAAGCAAAGAAGAGGAGTTTCAGTTTGAGTTTCACAGCACTAAGCAGCTTTAGCACAGTTGAGTAGTCAAGACCTTGTTGATGATCCAAACTCTGTCAAGGACCTTGGAGTTCTCATCTCTAATGATCTAAGTGCCAGAGCCCACTGTAACTACATAGCCAAAAAGGCATTAAGAGTTGTTAATCTAATCTTCTGTAGCTTCTTCTCTGGTAATATCACACTACTAACTAGAGCATACAAAACATTTGCTAGACCAATACTCGAATACAGCTCATCAGTCTGGAAACCACATTATGTATCTGATATTAACACAGCTGAGAAAGTCCAGAAATATTTCACAAGAAGAGTTCTCCACTCCTCTACTTGTTGCAGAATACCTTATGCCACCAGACTTGAAACTCTAGATCTAGAAAACCTAGAACTAACTCTAGATCTAGAAAATCTAGAACTACGCCGCCTTCGGTCCGATCTAAGTATAGTATATAAAATCATACCTTGCAATGTCCTACCTGTCAGTGAATACTTCAGCTTCAACCATTACAATACAAGAGCAAACAATAGATACAAACTCAAGGTTAATCGCACCAAATTTTATTGCAGGAAATACGACTTCAGCAACAGAGTGGTCAATGTCTGGAATATTCTACCTGACTCTGTGGTTTCTTCCCCAAACCCCAAAATCTTCAACATTAGACTGTCTACGATTGACCTCACCCCTTTCCTAAGAGGTCTGTAGGAGGCATGCATAAGCGCACCAACCGTGCCCACTGTCCCTGTCCTATTGTTTCTTTTATTTTTCTGATATGTATCCATGTATTCATAAGTATGTTTTTACTTATACCTGTTCATCTTGTAAGCAGTTGACCAACCAAATAAAATAAAAATAAAATAAAACTTGCTTCCTAAGGCAATTCCATGAAACAGGAAAGAAAGATCCTGCAGGAATCTGCCCCTGCAATACAATAATCGGCCACAGGAGGCAGTGTAACACAGCTGCTGACTTCATGCCATACTGTGTGTAGCTAGCTCACCATTTCTCAACCTTGCCTAGCTTAAGAGGGGCGAACTTCAACTCCCAGAATTCCCCAGCCAGATGTGCTGGCTGAAGAATTCTGGGAGTTGGCCCATACATGCCAGCTGGGAGCTGAAATCTGCTCATTTTAAAGTGGCCAAGGTTGAGAAATACTGCTGTAGATTCTTCAGTCCAGTAGTGGGACTCACATTTTTTTTACTACCAGTTCTGTGGGCGTGGCTTGGTGGGCGTGGTGTGGCTTGGTGGGCGTGGCAAGGGAAGGTTACTGCAAAATCTCATTCCTTCCCCATCCTACTTTCCAGCTCCTCTCTCCTGTGCAGGGCAACAAAAGAACCTGCTTTCCAGCTCCGCTCTCCTGTGCAGGGCAACCAAAGAAGACCCAGCCAATCATCTGGGACTCGGGAGGTGGAGAAGAGATGGGGGCGGGCCCAGTTAGAGGTGGTATTTGCCGGTCCTCCGAACTACTCAAAATTTCCGCTACCAGTTCTGCAGAACCGGTTAGAACCGGTTGAATACCCACCTCTATTCTTCACTCCTATTCCAGCTTTCCCTGTGCATGGATGGATGGAAGTTGTAATACAAAAGATCTGGAGGAGGACAGCTTGAAGAAGGCTTCTTAGCTGTAGCCTACTCCAGAGTATTCTGTGGGCTACCAGTACGTTTCTAGGAAAATAGCTGTTCATGTAGTCCTCCACAACCACCACAATTGGATCTAGAATTTCAGTTACTAAGCAAGGCAGTTGTTAAGTGAATTAACGTGAATCAGGCAGTCATTAAGCAAATCCATCAGCTTTGCTTATTGGAAGCCAGCTGGGAAGGTTTCAAATGGTTCCATGCATGGCTGGTTGCGAAGCACCCAAATTTTATCCTGTGGCTGGGGGTGGGTGGGGGGGGAGAGGGTTATTTTGAGGACTGGTCATAAGTTAGTTTTCTCGGTGCAGTTGTAATGGTCGCTAAATAGCTGTAAGTCGAGGATTATCTTACCGTAAGAAATAGCTTTGTTGTTGTATTTACCAGAAAGGAAATCAGAATGTTCTTTTTTGTACTTCCTTTCTTTCTGCCCTTTGGATTTTTTTTCTTTCTCTCTTTGTTCTTTCTCTTGCTCCTGCTTTTGCCTTTATTGCTTTGTAGAACAAAGAATCCTAGGGTTGGAAGGAACCCTGGAGGTCTTCTAGTCCAACCTCTTAACCAAGGTAAGAGACCGTGTATCTCGAACAAATGATTGTCCAGTCTCTATTCTATAACAATATAACAATTCTATTTCATTCTTTTATGTCCAGTCACACTTGGCCAATCAAGAATTCTGTTCTGTTCTGTTCTGTTCTGTTCTGTTCTGTTCTGTTCTATTCTATTCTATTCTATTCTATTCTATTCTATTCTATTCTATTCTATTCCTTGCAATATTTATTCTGTTCTATTCCATCCCATCCCATCCCATCCCATCCCATCCCATCCCATCCTATTTATTTACATTCCATTCCATTCTCTATCCTATCTTATCCTATCCTATAGTATACTATACATTATAGACTATACTATACACTATACTATGCTATGCTAATACTATACTATTCCATCCCATCCCATCCTATTCTATTTACATTCCATTCTCTATCCTATCCTATCCTATCCTATCCTACACATTATACACTATGCTATACAGAACTATTCCATTCCATTCCATACTATTCTAATCTTCCATTCATTAGCAAATGTTTTTTTCATCCTAGTTTACCTGTATAGATTACCTGTATTTGTTTTTACAAGCTAGGATAAAAAGGAGCAATCTGCACCGGGAGGACTTGCTGGTCCACCGTGTCAATCAACTGCTCTGGACAAGTAATCGGATAACGTCTTCTCCCTCAAGCGAATGGACTCCCCACCCAAGTTATCTGCCCTTACACAGGGCGGAGCATTTCCCCACGCCATTTGAGATCACCTTGAATCTCCTTTTGATTCAGTCAGAGTCAAAACGTTTGGTCTTGTGATGATGGCACCAAGTTAAAAAAAACCAGGAGATTCTGAGTTCTAGTCCCATCTCAGACATGAAAGTTAGCTGGATGACTTTGGGCCAATCACCAGGAGATTCTGAGTTCTGCTCCCGCCTTAGGCATGAAAGCCAATTGGGTGACTTTAGGCCAATCAACCAGGAGATGGTGAGTTCTAGTCCCAGTTTCTCTCTCTTAGCCCTGCCCGCCCTGCAGGGTTGTTGTTGCAAGGGGAAATAAGAGAAGGAAGGCATATTATTAAGCATCTTCACGACCTGGAATTATATATAAAAACAATAAAAGTGTTATAAAAATAAAAAAAATAGCCCAGAACTCAGTAATTCCCCTTTTCAAAGTGAGGGACCGCTTTCTCCAAAATTCCAGATACTCATTTAGTAGAAAAAACCACAAACCTCTGTTTATTGATTGACATTCAACTAGAAAAGGCACCAATAAATACACTGAAAATGAGCTGGGCGGGGGGGGTCCCTATGTATTTGGGGGAGGGGGTCTCTGCCACACTACATGAGTAGAGACCTTCCATATCTTCAACCACATCATCTCACAGCTCGTAAGAAATCTTCTATCATTCGCCCCGATTTTCATCTTTGCACAATGCTGGGTTTTTCCTGTTCCAGCCTCTCTGATGTTCCTTGAGGTCTACATCTCCCAACCTTCCCTCTGTCCAGGGATGGTCAAGAGGACAGCCCTGGTCACCAGAACCATGCTGGAGCAACTGAGATGGAGAACTAACCAGGGCAAAGGTAAAGATGAGGAGCTTGCTGTGCGCCTTAGGACCAGTGGTGGGATTCAAATAATTTAACAACCGGTTCTCTGCCCTAATGATTTCTTCCAAAAACCAGTTCACCAAACTGCTCAGAAAGTGTCGTGCCCCTGTCGGAGTCTGAATCTGAAGGGGAGTAAGATGAACAGCTGACAGGGAGCGGGAGTGTGGCTCCGTTGGCTTTGGAGGAAACTGGGGAAGGGCAAAGTCTGGCTGGGCAGAGCAGGGGAGAGGTAGAACAAGGGAGAGGGAGTTCAGAGGAAGACCCAGGCCCACCCCCTTTTCATCCTAGGGCATACAGGGAGGAACAGAGAAGGGAGCAACGTGGATTGCATGGTTTACAGAAGAGGAAAAG